TCAACAGGTTCCCTCCATTTTACATAAAAGCCACATGTCCAGGTAACCAGGAGGAGGGAGAGGAGAGCTGAGACAGAGCAAAGCCAGTGCCCATCAGCCCCTCCTCTGGTCAATGCTGCACGGCACTAAAAACAAGAGTCCCTGCTGTGGCAAAGTGCTTCTCCAAACTCCTTCACTCCCACCCCTCTTCCCTGCCTGATGCAAACCATCCCACCTTGTGCTTCAGGGATTTATCCGTAGTAGCAAACACCACGGTGGCCGAGGCGTCCCAGGCGTTGGTGATCCAGGCCTTGGTACCGTTCAGCACCCACTCGTCCCCATCCAGGCGCGCCACCGTGGAGGCCGCACCCGCGTCGCTGCCGTTCCCTGCGCAAAGCAGCAGCAAACCAGCCTCAGGTGACCGGTGACACACTGGGGGTGAACCCCCCCCAACTGCACCCCATCAGCTCACGGCACCTCTTGAACTGTGGCAGTGTCACCACTGTCCCTCCCACAGACCATGGAAAGGCCCAGGTGTGTAAGATGTTGCTCAGAGCTCTGCTCACACAGAATGGGTATTTTCAGCAGGGACCATAGGGTGGCAGCTCAGGCCTTGGGTACTGAGACTCCACTCACACAGAACTGCTATAAACATTCCTTCTACAAACTGTTCAGTTTCAAAGACCTAAAGCCCATCCTAGACCTGACCAAGGAAAGAAGCTACACCACGTTCTTTGCAACAGGGATGGTAACAGTCACGTCACCTGGTTCACTGAGGGCAAAACATCCAATTTTCTCTCCGCTGGTGAAGGGAGCAATCCACTGGTGCTTCTGCTCTTCAGAGCCATACTTGAGTATTGGCCCTAAATACAGGGACTTTAAGAATTTAGTGCTGTTAGTGCCTCTTGAAGGTACACCCAATGGAGTAGCTCTCTAATGTGCTCTCCAACACAGCAGAGAACCCAGCACAGGAACAGACCCACTTCTCCCCAGCACCCTCGTGCCATGCCCGCCCGTCACGCTCACGTTATTGACGCTGACGATGACGCCCGTGGACGCGCAGCCCCTGCTGATCTCCTCCACAGCGATGGAATAGGCCAGGTAGTCGAGGCCTGCTCCTTTGTACTTCTCTGGCACGTCCATAGCCAGCAGCCCCAAGGCACCCATCTTCTTCACCTGCACACGGGGAATGGACAGGTGCCATCCTCTGCAGCACCAGGGTGCCAGCAAACACAGACACCTGGGGAGCAGGACATGTCAGGAGAGGGCCACACCCACGGGAAAAGATGCACACAGCTCCTGGTGAAATGGGAATCTGAACAAACTGGTAAGTGTCCCCAGATCCCAGTGGCTTCAGCAGGAGCTGTACACAGTCACTGCTGTTTAGGCTCTTGCTTGTTTAAAGAGCTTTCTTCAGCACTGGGAAGGGGGGAGCCTTCTGAAGGTGAAATATGGAGACAGAACTCCACCTCCCACCAAAGCTCTACCCTTTCCTCAGCCTCCCACCAAAGCTCTACCCTTGCATGTCTCCTGCCAGTAGAAATGGAAATCTAGCTGATAAAAATCATCAGAATTTTACCTTTGAGTCTGCTGAGCTTCAGCCTAGGACTGCACAAAGGAAGAATTTTACAGAATGAATGACTGTAGAAAACAGTGGTGCAAGGTGATTTTTTTTCATTCCCAATAAAGCCAAATCTTGCTTCCCAAAGAATTTTTTGTTAGTTACATTGCAATCAATCCACCCCAAGTTTCCCAGCTAGACCCCTTGCTTTGCAACCATAAGCCTCTGCTTGCTTTTGGAGCAACTAAGGAGAATTTTTAGATACATAATTTCCCTCCTATGTGGGCACCCAAAACACCAATCCTCCACATTAAACACAGAAGATGAACAAGACAGCCACTGACTTGGTGTATGTTGCTTCATCTTATTAAACACTTGCTGCCATCTTGAATTTTCCCCTACACATTCAAGTCAAAAGACTCAGAATCAAATGTAAAATTCTCAGATGAGAACAGTAAGGAATAAAGTTATTTTCTTCCTTAGGGTAACTGTGTCTTTCCTGGCTACTATCCTTATGCCTTAAAAGAAAGAGGAATGTGACAAAACTCTCATGCCTCTGACAGTGTTTGTCTGGAGTCTCTTGGCTAATGTAACAGGATATGTTTGGCTGGAGCTTTGTATTTCATTGCTTAACGTGCACACTGGTGTCTTTCCACATGAGAAATCACTGGTTTGGCTGCAATTGCAATTTATTCACAGCCCCAGAGGATGAACAGAATGTACCTCCTGATAGCTTTTTTCCATCATTGAAATGCATTCATGTCATCTATGATTCCTCACCATAAACCATTATGTGCACTCTGCAAAAGTATTTGATTAGCTTTATAAATCAGTTTTATAATTTTTATTACAGCTCACAGATAAGTCTGTAAGACAACTAAAAACTCAGTGGTACTAAAGTCAGCAGAGAAACACAAATAAAAGTGAAGAGCTCAAAATGCCCTATGGGAATTACAACGTCCACATTCAGAGCAACAAATTGTCTAAACTTTAATTTTCTGCTAAACCGGTGCTAGATGTACATTCTGTCTCAGCCCCAGTGGTCCTGCCCCAGGGCACCAGGAAGGGGTCTCTGGCTGTGCCTTCCCAACCCTGGCACCCACCTGCTCGGCCGGGAAGCGGTGCTCCTTGTCCAGCTGCGCTGCCAGCGGCATCAGCTCCTTCTCTGCGAAGTCCCGGACCGTCTGCCGCAGCATCTGGTGCGTCTCGGGCAGCTCCGCGCTCTGGTACACGGTGTGCAGCCGGCGGCACCGCAGGGCCAGCGCTGGAAGCGGGGAGGGCACTCAGCGCCGCCGCTGCCCCTCACACCGGGCCAGGGGTGGGGGCGGCCCGTGAGGATCCCCCGGCCCCGGGGCTCCTTCCCGCGGCCTCAGCTGCGGCCCGGCTCAAGGGCGGCGCCACTCCCGCGCCTGAGGGGACTCGCCTCAGGCAGGCCCTGAAGGGCACCGGGACGCCGCCTCCCGCGCAGGCCGCGGCCCCTTCCTGCCCCTCCCCGGTGCCCCGCAGCACCCCCGAGCAGCCCCAGCAGAGGGAAGCCGCCGCGCCGCCCTCACCGCGGGGAGCTCCGCCGCAGCGGGACACGGCCGCCGCCGCCATCGCCGCCATCGCGCCGCCTCAGGAGCGCGGCCCGGCGCGCACGCGCCGCCCCCTAGCGGCGCGGCCCCTCCCGCCCCGCCCCGCCGGGAGCTGAGGGAGAGAGGGAGGGAATGGAAGGAAAGGGAAGGAAGGTCCTTTATTCCTGCTGCTGGTGACAAAACCACGCGTGTACAAACACAGCGGCACCGCGGGGACACCCCGGCCACCTGGACAGCCCCGCGGCGCTGCCACGGCCACGGGAGCAGGGTCCCAAGGGGACAGCACAGAGGAGCCCACGCGCCAGCGGCCCCAAGGCCACGCCGTGAGAAATATAAATACGTGTCCTGTAACAGCACTGGGATCCAGGCAGGGGAGACGGCGCTTGCTGGTGTTCATTGTCCTGCAGAGGAAGAGGTGCTGACTCCACCAGGCTGCCATCACTCAGCCTTGCCCTCGGCGAGGACTCCTGGCAGCGTTTATGTCCGAGTCACACAGCCAGGCTCTGGGGCAGCACAAGGCAGCTCCATGTCACAGGACAGCAGGGCAGAAGACTGGGAAACAGCTGACAATGATGTGATGAAACACAGAGCTGAGAAGTAGAGTTGCTACATTTGGACCTTACTGCTTCACCGCCACATTCCTCCTTCATGTCTGACTACTAAACACTTGTTTTGTTCTTCCTGAACCCTCAGATAATGAATAAGCATCCCCAAGCACCAGAGAAGAGGCTGCTGCTCCTCTGCAATATTGAGAATCCTCAAGTACACAGACAAGACATTTCCTACCAAAAACAGAGGACAAGGACAGAAGTACCCAGTCCATACAAGAGATGACCTTCCTTCACAAGGTGCAGCATGTATTCAACACTCAAGGTATGAAAATAGCTTTCCAGGAAGTTTGCTGGCATGGATCCAAAGCCCTTGCCTCAAAAATGGGAAAAAGAGGTCCTGGTAATAAGAGGACAAATACTGGAAAAACCATACTATGAGCTTTTGATTTTGGTCCCTTTCTTTTTGAAGTTTTAAGCTGAACTCAGTATGGTCCCAACTTTTTTCTTTTTCCAACTCAGCACAAAACCTGAGAGAAGTAGTCTTTGATAGCATTTTCCTTGCTCAAACTCCAGCTGACACTGAAAGCATCTCCTCTGTCTGCAGCACCAGGTTACAACTGACCATGCACCTGTCAAGGACGTGATCCTAGTGGAATTTCTTCCAAGCTCACTGGCATGAGTAGCTTTGACCCATCATTAAAACACCAGAGCACACACTCCAGAAGGAAGCTGGTCTGCTAAACCATGTTTACCAAAGAAATCATCCCTGCCACAAAGAAAAGAGGCTTTATGGAAAGCACCTAAGAGAAAAGAAATCCTAAGGAAGCTACTAAAGCAGGGACAGGAGTTTGCAAATCCCTGACTTTCTGGATTACAATCAACTTTTTCAGTGCTGGGTTGCCCTCTTATAGGGACTTTCTTTTTCCTGCAGCATGCTTTTAGGGCAAAGACCTTCTGATTTGGCAAAACAAACAAACTCAGCTAAAAACCGCAGGGCGCTACCGCTGCCTGCGAGTCTCCCGGTGTTCCTCCGCCCCTCCCTTTTATTGCTGGATAGCTAACACATTCACCAGTGCGAAAGCAACCGCTTCGGTGCCGGTTCCTGGTCTCTGGTGCCAGCCAAGGACAGGAATTCCCTTTTCCTGGTGGGGCCCGGCCCCGGCAGCGCGCTCCCGCCGCCAGCAGCCGCTAGGTGGCGCGCGCCGTGCGCGCCCCCGCCAGCCCGAGCGCGCCCCCGCCCGCCCCGGGGACGAGCCCACGCGCCTCTGAGGAACCTTGCCAGTGACACAGAGACAGATGGGAATCATCACACTCGTAAGGAAAGCGAGAGGTTGCTTCATGGAGAAAGTGTGATAAAAGTAACGTTTAAAGGCACCTGGATTTATACTACATATAAAATTCAGTTCAATATGCTAAAATTTGCCAGGGGATAACGAGTAGGCTCTTCAGACACTATTTCTGAACACTTCAGGATGAAAAGCACACTTCCAGGCAGTTCTGCATTGTGGTGAGTAACTTAGAGCAAAGCAAATGCTTCCCCCCTCAGAGGCACAGCCTGAGGGCTGTGGAAGGTGTTCACTGCGAGAGGCATCTCGGGGTCCACCCCAACAGCAGCTTTAACTAATCCTGAAGATCCCAAACAAGATTGCATCAGTGCCCGTGGAGATGCTGGAGGGGATCGATGGTGGCAGAATAGTTCTTCATCTTTCCATCAGGCAGACCTTGCCCCTCCACATTCCCAAGACATTTGTTGTGGTTGCTTATGATTAATGCTCCACCCAGAACAGGTCATTTGTTGTGGTTAATCATAATTAAGTATCTTCCTAAGAGCTGGAGATTCATTCATGGCTGCCACCCCACACACTCCCACTGCTTACTCTGATGCCAGCTGATGTTCCACGCCAAAGTTCCTTTCACTAATCTGGAGGTAAAGGCAGTGGTTTCCTAGTGCTGTCTGCATTAACAAGCTCTAGGCTCTGATGTCCACCACTCAATCCTGCTAAAACACAAACTACGCTGAATCCCTCTTAGCTCAACAGGTAACCATTGAAGAGTTAAGTTTTAACTGTCTCCAGAACAAGTGGAACTAGTATTAGGAAAGGTCTCCAGTCTAGACACAACCTAATTCCTCTAACAAGAGACACAACTGACCAGCCCAGCATGGGGACAGGAAAAGTACCAGTCTTGAGAGCCAGCAAAACTGGCAAAAAAAAGTTTTGATAGCTGAGATTTTGCACAGTTGGGAGCTTGCCCCAGCACAGCTACTGGCAAGACACAGGTCCTCCTCTTCCCACTGCATGATGCTGTCTCCCACTGCCAGGTCCCAAACACAGCTGTGGTATCAAACTCAGCAGCATGACTTCCTAAACCATAAATAAGCAGCTGAGCAGGCAGAGCAGTGATGGGGACAATGAAAAAGAGAACCATGTACATTCTCACTTTCCAAGGATCCCACTCCATAACACTGAATAATCTGACCTGGGAAGCTTTTAGCTACTAATATCTCCACTGCAACAAAGAAAATGAGCTGGTGCTGCTCACAGCAACTCTGACAGACCAGTCAGGTTTACAAGTACAGACTGAAGCCTAGGAAGCTCTGCTTCCTATTCATTTTTCAAGTGATTTTCCACATTCTCCCTTTTTCCTCTAAGCCCCACTAGAGTGACACCTTCACCCCAGCCAGGCTGACAATGTGCTGTCTACCTAAAAAAGCAATACATTCTGTACCAAGGGCAAAAAATTCCTACAAAGGGAAGAAGGGGAAATGGTAAATATGGTGAGATTAACTTCAGCTCTAAGGTTGACCCCTGAGCTCCAAAATTCAGTTTGCTCACAAAAGCTCAAACAGAAATGCTATCAGAGGAACAGCCCCCTTTTCCCCCCTATCTCGTATCTCTAGTGAAATCTCTGGCAAAACAGAGCTTAAATGATCTTAGGGGCAGCTCAGGGCCCCAGAGGCAGATGGAATATTCCCTCACTGCTTAGAAGCTGAATTAGTCTCTTTCCCACTGGAGAATATTTGGATGCACCCTAAAAAACAATGTCAGCAATGCCACAAACAAAACCACTGCCACTGAAGAGATGATCTATCCTACTGAACAGAAGATCTGCTCTTCAAGCATTGCTGGCTACTTGAAGGGGTTAAGATTTTCCTGCTAAGAAACAGCATAACACAAACAACCTGACCTGTTGAAAAAGGATATTCACCCAAGAGGTGAAACATCAGAAGCACTAAAGGTGCAAACTAACTAGAAAGACTAAGAGCAAGAATTGTTTAAGAGTCCCTCTGATCACTGACCTAACCAAGATAGCCAGGAACAGAGAAGGAGAGGCAGGAAACGCTGAGTCTCAGATAGAGAGGTGTTGTTGCAGGGAGATTTCCTTTGAGGAGCCGTCGTCTTTGCTTCATGTTCTCAGCCTCATGCACAGAGAAAAAGTTTGGCAAGAAGCTTTGTTGCACGAGACAGCAACTCCAGTCCACTCCTGCACATCTGGAATGGTTAAGGGCATCACAGCATCCAGCAGACAGAATGATTACTGTCCTCCATTGTAAGCATAGTCGGCCTTGTTGTGCATAATCAACTTGTTGTCCACAAAGTAAAAGCTGTCTGAGCGCGTCTCGTACGGGTTTTCAACCATCAGACGGACTGTGAAAGAGAAAGCTTCATTACCTCCAGCCAGCCACAGTCAGGATAAAAAGGACTCTGCCACTCCACTGGATTTACTAGGCTGATGCTCTGCCCTACCCAAGGAAGAGAAGCAAACTGCTCTTCTGAGCTTACTTCAAAGGCTGCACCCTGCCCTTTCCCTTCTTCCCATTCACAGGACAAGTGCTGTTAAAAGCAAACAGAGGGAGAATGAAGTAACCTCACTCAAAATAACCTTAGAAACTGCCAGAGCCATGAATGGAGGCAAACAACTATCACAACTGTAAGCAGAAGGAGCTCGTTTGTGGCACTCCCCACATGTACACAGGCAGGATGAAAACCCCAAACCCTCCCCACAGCCAGGCAGCCCCAGAAGGGCCCCTGTGCCTCTGCTCTATCCACCCCGAGGTCAAACATACCCTGTGCAATCTGTGTTTGCAGAGATCTTAGCAGGCTTAAAAACAGACCTCAGGGAAGAACCAGTTCTGTTCCAAAGCAGGAGGCTCTAGCCCTAACAAGCAAGTGCAGAAAACAGATGGGTGGCTATAAAAAGAACCCTTTCTTTGGTGTTTTGTTTTCTTCTGGGCTACACTACGAGGCATCAGGCATGTCAGCCCTGTGACTCTGATCAGTTCTTGCAGCCTCTGACTTTGCACAGGTTGTCTTAGGCTTTCATTTTCAAAGGAGGAGACTTTGCAGCACAAATCTCTAATTCAGAGAAGATTACACATTGCTAAACTGGGAACCTGTATCTGTTTGTTCCTGTCCCCTCAAGCCCAGTCACAACTTCTTCCACAAGGAGAGGAGAGAATGAGCAGATGCACACACAAACAAAACACCACTCACTGTGGCAAAGGATGTACTTACTAAGGTCTTCTGAGAGCTGAGGGAATTCATAAATGTGTTCACATGTGTTCCTGCTACTGGGGATGCAGAAACCAAAATCAAAATCAAAGTTCTTCAGCAAGCGATCTCGGAAGTAATGCCTCTCAATCATTCGGAAGTTTGACACTGGCTTTTCTCCCACTGTGAATTCCACTCTGCATGGAAGAATCAGGGAAAAAACCCAGTTATTGGGAAGAACAGAGCCTTGGGCATGAGGCTACATAAGAGTTCTCTACAGAGAGTTTGATATTTGTAGTCTACGATAGGTTGTCTCGAGTCTTCAACCCAGTTTTGTTATAAACTGTCAAGTAACACTTTGCAAACATCCAATCCTCCCTTCTTTCCATGAACTCATACTCACGTTGCACCAACAGTGCGAAGACGGAGAAACGCTGGGGTGAACTGGTAGCGAACAAAGCGACCTGCACTTGCATCCAGTTCACTGCTGTCATCTTCATCCTCCTCTGCGTGCTCTAGAAAACACACCAGCCTGGAGTTACTCTGCTCCCAGTGTACACTTGAGGTGATACTGGCTAGGGGGTGTACCAGGACAAGCTGCCTACTGCCTAGGTACTGAATATAAACACATTTAATAATTGGTCTGAGACTTACACTGGCATGAAGTAAAAGAGAAAGGACTTGCCATGACAGCTGGCCCAGCCGTGGTGGCTCCAGAGCTGGAGCCACCCCTCCCCTCAACCTTGCACATCCCCCGTCACAACTGCCAATGCACATGAACTAATCTCTATTATAACCAGCCCAAAAAAGGAAGATTGGCAGTCAATAGTTCTCTCCCATCCAACAATAATCAAATTTTTATCACAAGTTTCTCAGCATAAACTCAGTACAATGCTTAAAGGAGAATAATGTAGTCAGCGGGACATACACCAAAGGACCCTTCTGCTCGGTTTGCATGGGTCGTGCATTGCAACCTCTCAGCTCTCTCTCTATCCTCCCTGCAAGGTTTGCATGCTGTACCTGAAGCAGACGGCTTGGCAATTTCAAATAGTACTGTTCCAGTCTCAAGGTCCCGGATCTTAAACCTGGTGAAGTCAATGTTGTAAATGTTGTCCTCAGGTTTGCATAAATAATCTAGAACAGAGAGAAAAAATATAGTAATGGTTCAAAACACCTCTGATCACTTACCAAATGAATTTCCCTTCTTTTTAGCCCCAGCCCGATAAGATACGTACTGCTCGTTGTTTTGCAGAAGCTTCATGAAAACAGGACAAAATTAAGGATGTGAGAAACAAAGGCATGGTAAGTGCCAGGTAGCAGAGCAAGAATGGGATGCGATCAGGACAGAAAAGCAGAGATCAGCAGCCCAGAGGAAAAACAAAAACCAAAAAAGCCTCAAACAAATCAAAACCCACAAACAACACAAAAGCCCCAAACTTTGTGGAAGTTGTACGGGAGCAGCCGGCGGGCGCGCCCCGACCAGCGCGCCCGAGCCGCC